CTGTCAGCCTTTGTTTGCCAGTATCATTCAGGGCGCTGAAAAGGCTGCTGTAGATTGAAGGACGGGGCTTAAACAGTTTTTCACAGCAGCCTCCTCGTTTTGGGGGGAAAATGTCAGAAATCGTTAAAGAGGTATTTCACATTCCTTTGATGTGAGTCTTCACCGTTTGCCTTTGATTCCCATCACAAAGCATCGAGTTGTTACATTATTTGATGCTAATTCAGTGGAGAAAGGCTCCAGCAGCGGTTAATGCCACAGTGAGTTTGTCTGGCTCGGCGCGCAGAGGCTAAAGACATCAGCCTGCGTCCACTGTAAGCTGAAACAATGTCCATCTGTCCTTGACGCCTACAACACTCATTTCCTTCTCTTTACTCTGCAGATTCACAGAAGTAAGAACAAATGGAAATTCCACCTGAAGGATGGGATCATGAATCTGAACGGGAGAGACTACGTCTTCTCCAAAGCCATCGGGGATGCCGAGTGGTGAAGCAGAAAAAGGAACGGGAGAAAGCAACAGGAGCAGGATCTCTGTAACTCCTTCTATCCAGTTAACAGACAGTTTAGCATCCTTCCACATCCTGTGACTGGATTCATTCAGGAAACTGTTTCTGAGACTCAGAACTCTTGAGACAAACCCAAAGGACTGTGAGGTACTGTAAAACCCGGGTGTAGTCAGAAAACACTCGACTAGCCTTGCGGGATAAGAAACCAACAGAGGAAGGGAAAAGCCCCGTGAGCCGAGCGCCGTTTCTCTTTATTTCTTCTTCCAGGCGTGTCTGCCCCCCCCCCAGAGAATTCCCCTAACTTTGGAAAGAAAGCATTTCACCATCATACAGGTGTAGAGGACCAGGGTGACCTCGGCTTCCCTGCCACACAAGGTCAGAGGTCATTCGTTATAACCCCATAGATGAGAAACACCTTTGCAATGCACTGTAGTCGGTTGACTGGATTGACTCGTGTCTACGTTCGTGTCCAAACTTAGTGCCACCAGTCGAGATCGCTGCCTTTAGAACAACCAGAATCACCTGTTTTTGGCTTCTTTTTTTATATCCTAATTCTGTGTGAATTCACATTCATGAAAAAGGTGCTCCAGAGTGTTTTTATGTAGGTGACCTGTTCTTTAAACATTGTTTTAAATGCGTTTAATGAAGGAGTTAAAAAAGAAGGTAAAATAACATCACCTTACAATAACTCTTTTTTTTTTTTATCTTCGGCGCAGCACTTAACTCCCCCCCAGCACCCCCCCACTGGCTTCTCTGGAGCTTCATTCCATCTTTAACGTTAAGAAT